GACGTAATCTATAGTTCTCAAGTTTAACACTAGATCCCATCGACATGCTCTATTACGGCTACCAGGCAGTTTAGCAGTTTGTAAAAGGATTATCTATAAAGTGCAATTATGGGCAAACGTTCTAATAGTGGAGCAATCACCATGGAAACCATGACATGCCATGACGATTCGTCAGCTTTTAGAACTTTGCGTAGCTCTCAAAAAGTCTTAAAGTTTCCTATTCGGTAATTCCTGAACAGACAATATTGGTGTCATAATATTTGTTACTTATTACAGAACTTGATGTGCCAATACACAACCGAGACATCATACTTACCCGACTGCCTCACCCACTAATGAGGGCTTTATTCACTAAACAGCAATGGACAGCATTTTGCAATGAGTTGACAATTGACTTGAAGATAAAGCAACAAGTAAATAGGAGTACAACCCATATAGACATAAAACAACAAAATATGGTATCTTCTCATTCACATCGTTTTGTCCATCTATTCTTGGCATGTAATCTGGCCTTTTCTTTTCTCTATTGATGGGGTTTGTTATTTTTGACTGTTATATGTTTTGTTGTCTGTTTATCATTGTGTTACTTTGTTCTTCTTTTACTTCATTAGTATTTTTTATATGGTTACTTTGTAAGTGGCTAAATTGCTGTGTATTTGGACATTGGCATTGTGTTTATTGTAGTACATATATAATACATATTACCTATTTTATAGGCTGTGCTCCTCATTATTTGTTGTGCTTTATGGTTTAAGACTCTGAAGGGATTCTGGGTTTTGAGTGAGCTCCCTGATGTATTTCTTTGGTTTTATTTATGCTGGTTCAGTTTCAGGTCTGACACCGTGGCCTCCATGTTAAGCACGTTTTGAAAAATTTTATTCCAACTTTTTTTTTAGTTCTAAATTTTGCAAATATTTTTTTACACCTCTACAACTTACTGCTTAGTGATTGAACCCCAGATATTTCCATAAACTTGGTGTATGAGTCGACAGGACCATTTGCTTATGTATGCCAGTGCTTCCTCTCAAAGTTACTTGCACACATACATTGATTAGCAAAGTCCAACTCACTCACATGTTTCTCAAGTGAATATTATATACCTGTATTCTATCACTGCATTGTGCAAGCTGTATCAAACAGAATACATCCCAGATTGTCACCCTACCTATCTACTTACAATAGGCTTGTCTGTCTATCTATAAATCATCAAATTCAGTCTCCAGGTGCCATACTATCTTCATATCACCCTTATAATTTATTTCTCAACACTACTCCACACTACATTATGTAAAACGCATGATGTAGGTGAATCGATACATTCCGATACTCAACTTTCTGCATGGACTACAACTCCCATCACGGCCAGTTCTCCAGCTTCTGGTTGAGTGTGATAGGAGTTGTGTACAATCTGAACCTCAACGTTCTGCATGGACTACACCTTCAATCACTTCTGGCTGAGTATGATAGGAACACGCACACACACACACACACATACACGCTCTCTCTCTTTCTCTCTCTCTTTTACCTGCGGGGTCTACGTGTGGCTGAGGCTGTCCTCTTGGATATGACAGTGTGCTCCTCACGTGTTCCCCTGCTGTAGCTGGCTGACCTCCTGTTCCTGGGAGGGGAAGGGCTGCTTACCCTCACCCTCACCTCCGAAATGCTGCTGGACTCATCGAAGTAGCGGCGGTAAGAGGAGATCCTGTCCGGGCTGATACACATGCTGGCTGGGAGCTGGGAGCTGTTCTTGGTGCTGAAGGTCTAGGTCGCTGGAGTCAGGACCTTCCCTGGTCCTTTTTATAGAGTACAGAGATCCGCAGGAATGTGCCTGCTAAGGGGAGCTCACACACCCTTCATTCACTCCTGGGTGTCAAAATCACGGGGAGAGTAGAAATTCCCAGGCAGAGAAGGGATGGGTGCCTGGCATCTTGCAATGCATTCAAGCTGATCTAACAGCCCAGGCGTACAACGCTTGAAAATAATGGAAAAAATGAACCAAACAGCATATGCATCTTCTCATCTAATGAGATGTAATTGGAAGTCTGCGGCCATCAGCTGCATAAAAATGACAATTATTCCTGAATAGTTAACCCCTCTGTTAGCTGGCATTACTCTGCATTAGTGCCTCACTCGTAGGAGATATTAAAGTATGTCATGCTAATTACAATTAGTGGAATTCCATCTTAGTCTTGGAATGTAGATGGAGGGAAATTAGGATCGGGGTGGTGGACATAGAGTTTAGACATTATCTAGAGGAACGATGAGCTAGAATCTTTTGACAGTGATGGCCCACACTGGGAAATAGTAAATGCTTGCTAAAATTATAACAATTTAAAATATGTATTTCTAATTCTAGGAAGAGAATTCACTAGCTTCCAGTGAGTCATTTAGCATTCTAAAATACAAAAAGGTAGAAATCTCTGAATTCTAAACTGTCTAATCTAAATCATATTATTCACAGGACACATGGTATTTACTTCATTTTACTGTGTTGCTTTGTGTGTGCCCAGCTATGATGATAGATTTGAGTTACTCAATCTCATTTACTCCAAAAATCCAAATGCATACTTTCAACTAGTCAGTAAGACACACAGATGCACACACAGTCACATAGTAAGAGACACATACCTATTTATAGTAACACAGATTGACTTACTGAAATTCTAAACCATAAATACCTTTAATACCCATGTATATAGTAAAACAACAAATCCAATCAAAGTCAAAGGGTGTATTTCAGGGTTTTACATGTTTTATGTGAGTACCGTTATCTATTACAGTGTACAGTGCCAGTATGTGACTATGTAGGTGTGCATTACTGTGTAAGGTTGGCATGTGTGAATACAGGGGTATCTATATAGAATGACTTGTCATGTGAAAGCAGCATGTATTGAAGCATGGTGACAGTGTGGGAAAGTAGGGAATTAGCACATGAATTAAGCATACATGTGGAGGTTTAGCACTGAATGAAGCATGTATAAAGTGTGCACCTGAATACGTGTGTTTTTCATTTAACCTTTTTTTGTTTTCCTGTTTTTCTTTTGTACTTTTTGGTCCCTCAATCCAGTGCCAACCACTTCCCTCCATACTATTGTATCTGTCTGCAAGTCCTTCCATTCATGTATGTATTCATGTATTCATGTATTCTATGTTTCTATAGATAAGGCCAGGGACTAATGAAAGTATTTAGAAAACTGGACAGACTAGATGGGCCGAATGGTTCTTATCTGCCGTCACATTCTATGTTTCTATGTGTCTCCATCTGCTGTCTCTTATCTCTCACTTGTCTCTCTCTCTCCATCTTCTCCTTTACTATTTCACCATTTGTGACCCTCTTCCTGTGTCTCATTTACACTGATGTCCCACTCCTCTCCTTTCAGCCTGACTACTGTACCCCCTCCCCCCCACACACAGACACACAAACTTGGACCTGTCACAGTGACATAAAAAAAACAAAATACAGAACTTTAGTGCCAGAATTCCATTCCAGGTGAGTTCAGGTAGTCAGATTTTCAGACTACCTACCTCTTCTCGGTGTCATTTGCCCACATGTTCTGACACAATGCATCCCTCTAGTGTTAGTTTTGTCACAGCAAAGTCTGCATCTTTCATTAACACTAGAAATCAATAATAGGGATGTGCATGGGTAAAATATTCGGTTGGCACTTCCGAAATTCGGCACTTTTGCAATTTGGGACTTCGGCACTTCGGTTCGGCACTTCCGAAAGTCGGGACTTCGGAGCTTCGGCACTTTGGGTAAGTGTAGGGTTAGTGTAGGGTTAGGGTTAGGGTTGGGTTAGGAGTAGGGTTAGGGTTGTGTTAGGAGTAGGGTTAGGGTAGGGTTAAGGTTAGAAGTAGGATTAGAAGTAGAGTTAGGGTTTGGTTAGGATTAGGGTTAGGGTTGGGTTAGGAGTAGGGTTAGGGTTAGGGTTGGTTTAGGAGTAGGGTTAGGGTTAAGAGTAGGGTTAGGGTTAGGAGTAGGGCTAGGGTTGGGTTAGGAGTAGGGTTAGGAGTAGGGTTAGTAGTGAGGATATTGGAATTCTCATATGTGGCTACAGCCAACATCCTATGAGTCAAGGGAATGGAATGAGACACAGAATAGGGTGCACGAAAAAAAGGATTAACCTGGGGTAGGGGAATAGGGTACAAACACACTATATGTTATCATTTTATTATCGCAAGACTCTAAAAGGGACTTCTGCAGGGATGAGCATAAGCCCGTAGAGAATAAGCTTTATTTCCTCCTTTCATATATGACATTTGGGTTCTATGGCCTCAGTTCGGACATCCTTTTTTATCTACTTATCTATTAATTAATAATTCTCTATTGCAAATGATAGCCTCATAATGGCCATTCAGTATAATACTGTAACATATTCAGCCTCACCTTGTGGCATTTGCGCCCATCGGCCGTGCGTCTGTGTACCTAATTCCTGCAACATGTTGATGGATGCCGGCCGCTGTGGATCCACACCAAATTATAGCCCCACGTCCGCCCACGTCGATAACGATGTCGGTGTGCGCGTGACGTCACGCGGGAGAGGTGCGCGCACGTTCTGGGGTCAATGGCGATTTTTCGCCAATCAGAGCTAAAATAGGATTATTTAAACTCCTTATGCCTTTTCACCATTGCCCTGTTGTGGTTTCCCTATTGGTTGTCTGAGAGTGTGTTTATGAGCGTTTACTTCTGTTTATTGACTTTGGCTTCGTATTGACTTCCCTGTATTCTGGTATCCCTGACCTCTGGCTTTTCTTAATAGTTGTGTCTCTTTCTGTATCCCCGACCTTGGCTAGTATTTGGACTATTCTCTGGTATGTTTAGTCCGCCCATTCTATGGCCTGGTAAGACGTTACCTTTGAGTCCTAGGTGTGAAACAATTCTACATGCTGGATCAACTAGCATTCCTGACAAATACAGACATCCAAGGTTATCCATTTCAAAATATATTCATATGTAATGTGGCATATTTGCTGATGACATTGTGATAGGCATCACTGTAGTGGATCCCTAGTCCTCACAGGGACTCTTCTCCGCTGGATCCGCAAAAGTGCAATCAGGAACAAGAAAAATGCCAAAGAAATATCCTTCCCCTCCCCAGCAACTGGACAACAAACAGTTCTGGGAGTACAACTGTTTTTATTCCTGCTACACACGGCTTTTATACATTGCCCCTTGCATGGGGTTTCTTAGTCACAATCACAGGGCTTTTCTTCCCAAGATCCTCTGTGCCTGAGAGATAATTGCGTGAGAAAAAACTATAACTTAATTATGTCTCAGGTACAGAAAAATCTACAATATTTAAAAAAAAATACATTTTAATATTCCATAACCCCACCAAAGTCCATTGAAATATTGCTCCAGTACCACCATCTGCAAAAGTCCTTCTATGCTGCTCACTTGGTGTGCTTGGACCCATCCCAGGGTAGCTCTGTGTAGCCGGCGGTATGCCCACTCGGCATGAGAGTCTTTTTCACTTTTCCTCAGCTCTCTAAACCGCCTGCGGTATGCCTCCGGAGTGATAGCATACCTTACTTATATAACAGATTTTACCTAAACATAGTCCTGAATTTCCTTGTCTGGGACTGTTCGGTAGGCTTTGGCTGCTGTCCCTGACAGTCTGCTAGCCAGAAGCAGAACCCAGTCTTCAAGACTTATCCTATTTAAGGTACATTGTCTTTCAAAGTCTTGGAGGAAGGCATCAATATCCTCCCCTACTTTCACAAAGTGTTTAAACACTCCATAGGGTATTTTGGGCTTATCCTCTTGCACTATAGTTACTGTCGGTGTCCTTTCGGGAGTTTGTCGTTTGCTCCTTTTTAGAATGAACTCCTGGACTTCCGTCATGGTTCTTGCCAGAATCTCTGTTGACAGGTTCTCACCATAGAAAGACAAACAAAATTGTAATTCCCTTTGAAATTCATTTCTTTCCTGTTCACGCTGATCTGAAGCGACGGTGGTTCGGTCTTCCGCCATCTGAAGCTGCTAACCAGTGTAGTGGGGCCCTAGTACTAGCAGGGACTCCTCTCTGCTGGAACTGCAAAAGTACAATCAGGAACAAGAAAAACGCCAAAGAAATATCCCTCCTCCCCAGCAACTGAGCGACACACAGTTCTGGGAGTACAACTAGTTTTATTCCTGGCACACACGACTTTTATACATTGCCCCTAGCATGGGGTTTCTTAGTCACAATTACAGGGCTTTTCTTCACAAGATCCTCTGTGCCTGAGAGATAATTGCGTGAGAAAAAAACTATAACTCAAATATCTCTCAGGTATAGAAAAATCTAAAATACTTTAAAACACCCCAAAAATACATTTTAATGTTCTAGAACCCCATGAAAGTCACATCGCCAAATAGCTTGGATTTGAGCACACACTTTGCCAAAATATCACTCAGATCCCTTTGGTGATTCGTGAACGCCATTTGAATGAAGTTTTGACCGGTCGGACATGAGGTGATGCCCCAAAACAGTTCCAGAGAAAACAAGGCAATAACCGTTCATCTTTTGGGGGGTCGCACACGAACACTGATGAATCTATCCCCTGGCTGTTTGTATACAAATACTCCCCCTGTTTGGTTGTTTATGTCTCCCAAACGCCTTTCTCCTAGCTGTTCAGGAAGTTGCATGGGCAGCGGTACCAGTTCCCCGGGCGTTCACGGGGTTGCATATCCGAAATTAGTTCCACGCAGTCGATGACCATGTACCGCTGCCCTCGTTCGGGAGACAAAATTGTTTGAACATGTGCGTATGGTCAGTGGTGTATCATGGTTTTGTGCTGCCCTAGGCAGGACAAAACTCAGGCGCCCCCCCCTGCGCCAGCCCCACCCAACCCTTCCCCCCGCCTTCTAAGTACATACACACACATTCACTGACAGATACGCATACACACGCTAACAGACACACACACTCACTAACAGACACACACGCACTCTAACAGACACACACACACACACTAACAGACACACACACACTCTAACAGACACACACACACTAACAGACACACACACACACTGACACACACACATGCACTGACAGACACATACACACAGTCAGACACACACACTAACAGACACAAACTGTCAGACACACACACACTAACAGACACACACACACACTAACAGACACACACACACACACACAGTCAGACACAAACTGTCAGACACACACACACATACACACTACAGACACACACAGTCAGACACACACTAACTCACTAGCAGACACACGCTAGCAGACACACTCACACAGTCAGACACACACACACACACACTAGCAAACACACACACACATTAACAGACACACTAACAAACACACAAACATTAATACATTTTTTTTTTAATTTAACCCCCCCCCCCTCCTTACCTTTGGGAATGCTGGGGGTTCTATCTCCCTGGTGGTCCAGTGGCTGCGGGCGGTGTTGGCGGAGGAGGGAGTTTCCTTCTGAGCTACTGCCACAGAGTGAGGCTGGGAGCCGGAAGATGACGTCATATTCCGGCTCCCAGCCTCACTCTGCAGCGCGCGAGGGATCTGAGCGGACCGCTCAGAGGAAGAGCTCCCTCGCCGACCCCCCGCCCAGCGCCGACCGCCCAGCCCGGCCTGTCTGTTAGCCGCAAGGCTAACAAGGCATTTGCCCTGGGCATTTGGGGGCGGCGTTTTTTGCCGCCCCCTGAAAAATGCCGCCCAAGGCAAATGCCTTGTTTGCCTCGCAGCTAAAACGCCCCTGCGTATGGTTATACAAACGACGGCCACACAGGAAAAGCATTTGAACTAATAACCATTTTTTTTAAAACATCACTGGTGGTCGGTGATTATGAAGGTGCGAACAAAGGGCCACACGGCATGGGCGTTCGGTAAACACAGTGTGGGGGTTTGGTAAATGGGGCATACGAACAGCCAAACAAAAAGGGTGAATGAAAGTATTTGGAGTTCTCCATTCTGTTACAATCACCAACCTCCTTTAATCCTGTAAATACAAGGACAAAAGGGACTCCATGCATGGTGGGAGTGCCAGCCAAAGCAGACTTTGGGATTAGCTGTTCCTCTTGGCCTCTAGGAAAACAATACAAAAGAAGATCCAGCTCACTCCCTTTTCTACTAAACAGCAACTTCGGTGCTGACAGATTTTGTTAGTTTTTTTAAAAAAAAACCTAATCTAGGCAAAAACCTCTCTAGGGTTACATGGCAGTACTGCCTGGTGGACCCAGCTCTTATCCTTTGACACATTTTCTCTGCACTATCGAGCTCAGAGGTGACTGCTCTGTCACCTCATTCTTGCCACTAAGATGTTCGTTAGATACTAGTCTCAGCCTTGTCACTGGTAGTGGGTATGTTGTGGGACCATGACACTTGGGGAAAAGATGTCCCACAGTAGAAAGAATACCCTGCCTACCTTTAACAAAAAGTAGGCATTCTAGGCAAATTTTCCCCTCTGCAAGCCCTAAAGAAGCAAACAAGGGCCACTAACACTTCCTGGGCATGTGGACCAACTTTAACAGTCCTTGTTAGAAGGGGAACTCAAGTAAACCGATTATCTTGTCTTGCAGAGATTCAGGATCATCTTCCATAAACTTTTTATTTTAAATATGCAACAGTTTTGATTCACATTGTTTTCTGTTATGCTTTCTTATTTTATTACAAATGTTAATACCACTTTAATGCCATGCTGGGGGTTTAAATTGTTCCTTCTTGATATGACTATTAAAATAATTTGCATTTACACAGTGTCAATACATTGATTTATTGTAAAATGTTCAATAGTTATTATATTGTGTAAAAAACAACAAAATTTTGGGTATGGTTTACAATTATGAGAAGAAGACTAAAATATTTATGATGCAGAGAACGGAGGCTAGAATATACATTTGATATATATATATATATATATATATATATATATATATATATATATATAAAAAGCTTAGTTAGCTGAAATAAATCAGGTAGGGGTATAGGTCAGTAGAGGGATAGGGAGAAAAGTGGGAGGGGAAGTTTAAATAATTGTACTGTGTCCTTTGATGTCTTTAAGCATCCACGTTGGGTATTGTGCCTTTTACATAGTGTGTAATCAGCATAGATATGGTTGTAAAACACACTATAATCTGTTAGTTTCCCAGAGGTGATTGTGAACATAGAAAGGGGCAATATCCACCAGATCTAGGCCTAGAACTAAAAAAGCAAGATAAAATCATACCAGGGAATTAAAACATAGACGGATTATGTATATTATATTAGACAGCTCACTATTGGAAAATACAGCATTTATCTTTCTTGCTTTATGTCCATGCTTATCCTTCCTTTCATAGAACATTTGTCTTTTCCAGGCAATATGTTTTAAAAAGTTGTAATTTTATTATTAAAATTACATATATGGGTCATATTTAATCATCTTGCATTGATAGTATGGAAGGAATGCAATGTAGTTATTCATACAATATGAAATGTATTTTTTCAATATATTCATCAACATTTCAATACACATGTATATGAGGTATTTCACAACTGACTATTGGACAGCAATGTACATTAAACATCTTAGTCCAACAAAAGTGAATTAAAAATCTTAATACATAACATTTTTTAACAAAACTAACTTGAAAAATCTGATTGCATCTGAACGCATATCACCTTAGTCAAACAAGACATCCTCGGATGTAAATTTTTTACTTACGATGTTGCCTATTGTTTTTTTTTTAAACAATGCATATTATGTTTTCTCATATCCCTTTTTATAATAAAATTAAACTTTTATTTCCAAAGTTTAAATATAACTGCAATAATACATAATTCATTATTTTTAATTTATCAATAACTCTAAATACTCAAATTAGCCTTTCTAATTTATTTAGCGCCCTGCAAACAGTAATACAGCCATTCCATATTAATAGAAATATTTGATAAAAGCACTATTTTTGAAATGCAAAACTCAATTTCTTACAGTGTAACACAGATACAAATGAACTGTAATAAGGACAAACTTTACTTGACTCCATTGGCAACTAATATGAGCCTAAAAGTTCAAGCAGCAAGTCATATATGCTTATAAAGGACAACTCAAGATGTCTATGAAAATATTCTTCAAATAAATGCATAATGCACAAACCTGTATTGCACAGCTGTAATTTTACTTTGATGAGGATTATCACTTATCTCTAAACTGATTAGGCAGATTTACTTTTCATCCCTGGAAAAAACACCCTTTG